CTCTCTAACCATGCACATGATGTGGTTTTTCCCCCCCCAATTATGTTTCAAAAATTAAGATTTTTAAAAACAATAACCAAAAAACATTCTGTTAGGTCCCCAAACATATTGACCTGTCACAATCATCTGCTGCTATTTAGATGGTTGCTTGGTGGCTATTGAACTGTAGGCTGGAACACAGAAGTCAAGATATGTTTGTTTTGTTTCAGTAAGAATACAGTATTTCTTTTCCTGCTCTATACAACCATATCTCGACTCAATTTCCAGACTAAACAGACACTAAAATTCTTCTAAATTTCTGGAGCTGAAGGTCAAATGTTGGTTATGGGCTATAATGCATGCTTGGAGGTATAGCTAGAGTCAATCTGAGATCAATCCATTTTTTCTAAAATTCCCCAACAAATATTTGAAGAAAGCAATAGGAATGACAAAAGAGTTCTGAGTGAGACAAAGGAGAGAGATTTGAATCAAAGAAATGTTAAATGCATGTGATTAATTGTCGTCTACTGCTGAAAAATTTGTCATAGTATTACTGAATATTTGTTGGTCAAGCATTTAGCAAGCTCCTGGAGTGTGGTCTTGAGACAAACTGTAACACAGAACAAGCAAAACCACATTTTACAACACAAAATGATTTTTGTGCACCAGTCAGAAAGTGATTTTGCAGCTCTAAAAAATACATGGAAAAATAAGTTTTAGAAATGACAAGTCACTTCTGAAGTGATTGTGATGTAATACTAATAAATCCAATCTTCTCAAGACAAGTTAATGAGTGATCTTCTATTCCAGCATTCATGCCACCCAAATGCTCTTGATAAGAAATATTTGATTTAAGAAATATTTTCCTGTCCCCTGTTCTCAGTATCTATTAATCAGAGGTATACTGCCACAGACATATAGATTTCATCTCAGTGATTGATCACACATGAGTTTCTTCCCAAATGAGCATCTCCAGGAGCATGCAAGACCGTTTTGGGGCTGATTATACTTACATGACTTTACATACATAGTCTGTAAACAAACACTTCCAAGAGGATTATGTATGTGCTGTAACCACCTTTCCCCAAAGGATCACATGTATCTTATGAGTCAGAGACAGGAAAACTGCATCTCCCCCATCTCTTTCTTTACATCTTTATTCTATCTTAATATTGCTGCCTTTAATGCTGTTCATCTAATTATTACTGCTTATTTCATTAGAGTGCTAATTTCTCTTGTTGAAAGAAAAATCTTCAGGTCCAGTTCAAGCCGGGAATAAACAAAATGGAGACAGCTTAGGAAAGAAGGTTCTGTTTATTGAAGAACAGAACCAACAGCATGTATTTCTGGGAAAGCTGACAAAATGGAGTTGGGATAGATAGATAGGAGTTGGGATAGATGGGCCTTTATACCTTCTTTGGGCTTTGTATTTGAGGTTCTTCCTGTTCCTGTCCTTGGGAGTCTTTGTTTTTCTAATCTTATCAGCTTGAACTTTCTCTGGGATTCTGGCTGAAGGCATTTTGCTTATGAATAGGTGGCCCAGTCTTTTTGAATGGGATTATCAAATCTGCATTTCTATAGAACTGGCCAGCTGAATTTCTGTTTGGGGGAGACTGGGGCTGGCTTCTGCCTAAGATCTCTCTATTATTCCTTTGGGGAAGTATAATATTCTGCCTCTTTTAATATTCCCCAAAATATTTCCTTCTCGGGGGGAGGGTGCTGACTTCCTACACCCTGTTCAGGTGATCTTCTACTGTAATTCTAAATGAATTTCTTATAATGTTATTAAGTAAAAGCACAATTGCCCAATTCTATGCTTTCTCTCTAACTGGATAGGGTGGGTACATGTGTTAAAAATAAAAAACAGTGCTAAGAGCACAGGGAGATACAAACAGAAGACAGCATTAGTGCATTGTAAATTTCTCTATGAATAAGTCAGGAAAGTTGCAAAATAAGAGGCTCATCTAAAAGCCCTTCTGTTTCTTTGTATGATCTTCTTCCATAGTTCCAAGTTTATATTGTTGATGGTTGCCAAATCATACCTCTCCTTTTCTCATACTTCACCTAGAGATATCAGTGAATCATTGAGGCTCAGAGGTGCCCGTTTGAATAAGAGCATATAAAAGGCACAAAGCATATTGTTTACATTCTGTAATCCTTGAGCAAAATGGTCGTCACATTTTGCAGCACACTGTAATACCTGATGTTTCATTCATTCCAATAGTTTGCCTTGCCTTGCCTTGCCTTGCCTTGCCTTGCCCTGCCTTGCCCTTGCCCTTGCCCTTGCCCTTGCCCTTGCCCTTGCCCTTGCCCTTGTCCTGGCCCTAGCCCTGGCCTTGCCTTTCTGTCTTTCCCCAATTCTACAGCAGTCTTCCCAACCTGGTAGTTGCATGGCTACCTAGGAAATTCAGAGAGGTGCAACTCTCAAGGATCCACCCTGCAAAGGTTATTTTACAGGCACTAGAACAGCGGAGATATCCACTTGCTAAACTGTGTAAGCAATTTCCTGTTGCTTTATTCACCAGTTCTGTGAGGAAGTACTTAGAAGGATCTGATATTCTTTTCTGGCTACTGTGGAGGAAGGATTTTCAAGGGTCAGTTGCTCTTGGGAAGGTTGAACCTTGAGACTCAAATTTGTGTATTGGTAAAAGGACTCTCCAGAGCAGGCAGGTAAGTAAAGAACATACTCTTGCTCATTTTACATAACAGTGGAATGAATAAGCAGGAAATTGGAGAACCTAAGAGTGGAATTGAGGGTGAGCAGGAATTATTTGGTTAAATGAATTCTGTGGACAGAGTTTTGGACACTAAGGCTATTAAAACTCAAGCTGTACTCCCTTTATGCCCCCAAATGCAATTATTACAAAGCTAGAGTACCTTTCCCCAATCTAGTGCCCTCCAGGTGAGTTGGACTACAGTTCTCTTCATATGCAGTCAAAATATTTATGGGATTCTGGAAGACATTTGTTGAATGAATCTGGAGGTTATCAAACTGGGAAAGGCTATTGTAGAAGATGAAACATTTTGATGAAAAGATGGTTAGTGGACATAGAGACTATTGCTCTAGCGTATCTGTAATTAAGTGTCAAATATTTCATAAGGTGGATTCCCTTTATATGATTATGTATTTTGCTTACACAATCAATCTTACCAATAGAGTAATTGAAGCAGCAGCAGGGGTATCTTTTCATGGAAAAGGAGACAGAAAGCTACTGGACTTGTAATGACCAGGGCAGAAAATAAAGGTAATTCTTGACTTACAACAAGTCATTCAGTGACCGTTCAAAGTTACAAAGGCACTGAAAAAAGTGACTTATGACTGTTTTTCACAAACTGTGAACAAAATTCAGACTCTTGGCAACTGACTCATATTTATGATGGTTTACAGTGTCCCGGGATCAAGTGATCACCTTTTTGTGACCTCCCAATAAGCAACGTCAATCTGGTAGCCAGTTTCACTTAACAACCATGTTACTAACTTAAAAAATGGAGCAATTCACTTAGCAACTGTGGCAAGAAAAGTCGCAAAATGGGCATAAATGACTTAATGACTGCGTTGCTTAGCAACAAAAATTAGGGCTCCATTGTGGTTGTAAGTCGAAGACTACCTATGTGCATGTTTATGTTGAACTTAAAAGCCTTGATCTATTAAATCCTATGATTTATAGTGATTGGTCATATTGTCTGACTCCAATATCTGATTGGAGAAGGCTAGATAACCTGTGTGCTACCTCTCCCAATTCTACTTCTCCTGCTTTCCCCAATCCACACAACCCTTCTTGTGCACGTTGCCCGCATAGCCACTCTGATCCTGTCCATCCTCTAAGTCCTTTTCCTGATCAATGCAGCACCTGGTGCGTACCCCCATGTATTCTTCCTCTATGAATCTATTATTATATAATGAATATAATGAAAACTTCATAAACAGAGGAAATGAGAGAGGGGGGGAAACACATACACAAACTAACAACTATGCTTTGTAATTGTTATATTCTTTATATGTCAGAACCAACAAGGGCAAAATTGACGGTCCTTCTGTAGGCAGTGTCCCTGATCAATATTTACATGTCATTAAAAATCCCCAATATCTGTCAGATTGAAATGAAGAATACCTTGATGTTAAAAGCATCTATTTTGGGATATCGATAATTTTGGCCATTTTCTGGTGAGGTCCTTGCACCACTCTAAAATCAGTCCCAGATCTATGGGATCCCATGTTGTTTTGTGTGTTTAGCCGCTGAGCAGATTTACTTTTAACTCAGCCACAAGGTATACAAAATTGGGGTTGGATAGGGGAAAATAAGGGTGTTTTATTTTTTCATTTGCAAGTTTGAGTTTCTGCAGAGGTTGTACATGTTTTTCTATTGGAAGGAACCTGCTTCAATCCCCATCCTTAGTCAGCTTCTCCATACTTCTGTTCAGAAGTCAGCTACCTTTATGTTTTAGAGCAGGGGTAGTCAACCTTGGCTCTTTTATGACTTGTGGACTTCAATTTGAAGTCCATGAGTCATAAAAGAGCCAAGGTTGACTACCCCTGTTTTAGAATGATCTTTTACTTTGACCATATGAGGATAGAATAAAACCTGGAAAAGCTGCACTGCTTCTCTTCTGCCTCCATTTATGATGCTATAAATGAACTTGGGCTCCTATAGTCATCTGTGTGTTCCACTGGGTCTTGGTCATGTGGACGTCATCATCCACACATGTGCATTCCTTCTGCACATATTTAGGCTAGATGCCTAGAAGCTGCAAGGAACCTACAGTGACTAGGCATCATTAGCAGGGAGGCAGGGCTTGCTTCACGAGATAAGCGTTCTGGAATTTAGCAACTGTATAGAACTCTGTATGCCCAGTGCCCATGCTCAAAGTCTATTAGCTTATTTTTCTTTTTAACAATTATGATCTCTGTTAGGAGCCCTAAAGAATCACTTTATGATTAGAATGTTGCCTTTTGCCTAGAAAAAAGTTATTGACTTATCTTTGCTTCATGTTCTACACAGGCCTACAGCAAGATATCCAAGATGGAAGACATCCAAGGCGATCAGGAGGATTTGATGTTTTCAGGCATCCTAGATAACTATAGTGAATATGCAAATGATAGTTTAGATTTCCTAGGTGCACTTACAGAAGTTTGCAGTTTACGAGATAAAACAGTTACAGTAAAATATATTGTACCAGTTATCTATACATTGGTTTGCATTTTGAGTCTCGTGGGCAACTCCTTGGTGATTCTGGTGGTGAGCTACAGCAAAGAAAACCGTTCTGTTACTGATGTTTATATCCTGAACCTGGCTATTGCCGACCTTCTCTTTGCAGTCACCTTGCCCATCTGGGCTGTGTATCGAGCTCATGAGTGGATCTTTGGCACTTTCATGTGCAAAATCACCTCGGTTCTGAAAGAAGTCAACTTCTACAGTGGTGTCCTCCTACTGGCCTTTATCAGTTTTGATCGTTATTTGGCAATAGTTTATGCTACTCGGGCAGCCACTCAGAAGAGGCACTGGGTCAAATTTGTCTGCATCGGCATCTGGCTATTCGCCTTCTTCTTCTCGCTCCCTGTGATCCGCTTCCGGGAAGTTTTTAAAGTCTCAAATTCCTCTCACAGGGTTTGTTATGAGAACATTGGTGAGAATCAAACAACTAAATGGAGGGTAGTATTGAGAATTTTACCACAGGTGTTTGGATTCCTTCTCCCCTTGACAATCATGATGATTTGCTATGGAATAACAGTGCACAGACTCTACCAGTTGAAGAACAAGCAAAAGAAGAAGGCAATGAAAGTAATCTTGGCTGTAGTGCTGGTCTTTGTGATCTGTTGGCTACCCTACAACATCGCCCTGCTTTTTGATACTTTGCTGAGGATTGGAGTCATTACCGAGACCTGCTCAGTTCAAGAAAATATTGACAATGCCCTGTTAGGTACTGAGATTTTGGGAGTTGCTCACAGCTGTATCAACCCCATCATATACGCCTTTATAGGACAGAAATTCCGGAACAACTTCCTCAAGATCTTGGTCTCACAAGGTATCATCAGCAAAGAGATCCTGATTCGATATAGGAAGGGATCCAGCTTTTCAACTTCCTCTGTTAAAACTTCAACTACCTTGTAATAAACTTCCCTGCCAGAAGAAAAGGCGACTGAATATATTCTCTGGCTGGCATCTTCCATGGTGATACATCAAGAACTGTAGAGATCACTCTTTGCTTTGATTTGAGAATGCTATTAATGTTGTTTTTAAAAGCTCTGTTTATTTGTCTGAAAAGACATTTCTCTTTCCTATAATTGTTATCACTTTTCTTATTTTAATATAATATCTGTTTCATTAAAAAAAAAAACCAGTAAGGAAGCCAGACAGATAGAGTTAACCCAAGCTGTCCTTCATCGACAGAATCTGAATAAAATATATAACATTCTGAACATCTGAAAATAGTATTGTCTAAGAACAGGATATTGCCTTTTCGAACTAAGTCTGCCAGTTTGTTTCTATGGAATGTTTTGTAAATGGGACACAAAATCTGTTTTGTGTCCCATTTACAAAATCATCTACCAAAATGAAAATCTAGCATGCATTTTGGTAGATGAAGCCACCGTTTTCATTTGAGCTTTACTAAACAAAAACATTAGAGAAGTTGAAGTAGCAAAAATGTTTTTTCCCCTTTTACCTCTGTCATTTTTATATTGTACACTCTGTATGCTTGTTCATCTGAATAAAAATAATTTTGCCTGTGCAATTATAATTAGATTAATGCAGGTGTTTTTTTAAAAAAAATAATACAAAGACTTTCTATCCCAGTCTGAAGAAAAAATGGTATATGTCCTGTGAAGGGATGGGGGAGGGGGGCATTCATTCAGCACTGCTGAGTCTCCCACTTAATCAATATCAAAGCCCTGCTGAGCCACATATCTGTTGGGTAACCAGGGATATTTGTGGTCCTAGCATGAGCTCTCTAGATTGAATAGTTATTGCTGCCATTTGTTGGTGGTAATGGTGGGGAGAAAGTTTCTCTCCTTTTCTTCCCAGGGAATTTGTCATTTGTGTGTAGTATTTCAAATTTGAAAAACTGGCAGATATTAATGCACTTTGATTTTCCGTTTGTTTTTGTTTTTTGTTAGCCTTGTCTAGACAAGATATGTCTTATCAGATAAAATGCTGAATTAATAAAGATTCTTTCCTTGTCTATTTTATATCTCTTATATTTTCTGGGTATAAAGCACACAGTGAATTGTTTCTGAAACACACACAGCTGGCAGAACCATAAGAATTTTACATTTATATGAAATATTTTATATATCCTGAATATGTTATAACAACTTGCTCATTTGGAAGAATACCCCAGAGGAAAACTTCATGTAGTATACACTTTTTATTGAGAGCATTTAAAATTAGATAGAACCTGGTGCTTGGCATGTAGAAAACCGACACATTTCACAGTAGTACAAACTATACAATTTTATGCTTTGCTCCTTGGACTATTTCTATTTTTTCCAATAAATGCAGTTCAATTATGAACTGTGTCAGGTTCTGCACTTAGATGGAAAACCCAGATGCACAATTACAAGCCTGTGTCTGGCTCAACAATACTACTTTTGATTAGGAGTTGCCCAGAGTTAGTTGAAAGATGGGTGGCTATATAAATCAGGGGTACCAAGCCCTGGGCCACGGCCTATTAGGAACTGGATCCTGTCAGCAGCTTTCTGGTGTGGACGCATGCAAGTAACTCAAGTTGAGCTGTGGGTGTGGGCGCGCCAGCCCACTGCTTGTGCAGTCCGGTTCCCCTCTCCTCCCCCTTCCAGGCCACTAAGCTGCAAAGTCTGGGGACTGCTGATATAAATGTTTTAAATACATAAAATAAATATTTGTGAGAAAGGTTTGGGTGTCTTGCTCACAACAGATTAAGTCTTAGCTAATGGTATGTTTCAGTTCCCAAAGAGGTAATGCAATGTTAAAGTACATCAGCATAAGTACAGTGTTCTGATCACGGGAACTAATAGTTTCATTCTAAGCTGCACTGGTCAGACCATACCAGCCATTATTGTATCTGATTTTGATCAACACAATACAGGTGCTATAGTCCTTGATGTATCATTACAATTGGGACTGGAATCTTGGTTGTTGCGCAAAGTGGTTGCTAAGCAAGACACCTATGTGGCTGCTTCGTTCAACAACTGCAATCCCGGCATTTCCAGTTGCAGTCATTAAGCGATCTCCCAGGTCATTAAGCGATTGGAGCAAAAGGGCTGCCTGTTGAGTTCAGCTCTACTCCATGTGTGGAGGGGAACTCCTCTGAAGGGCTGCAGGAACAGAGCTCAGATCCTTGGTATTTGACTTTCATTTCTGCATTTTGCATTCTGCTGGAGGAGTTCCCCTGCCCTCACCAAGCAGTCCTTTTGTTCTTGAAGGGCTACCTTCTGGGGTGGCAGAATCACAGCTCCACACAAAGCTGGAGATTCCTTCTCAGTTGAGATTCTTTCTTAGCAAACAGCCATTCTGCTCTCAAAGATCTCCCTGCTGGGAGGGAATCGCAGCCTTCCCTGCCAGCTTCTACAATGACTTTCTGGAAACCAGCAGAAAAAAATTGCAAATGGGGATCATATGATTGCGAGGTACTCTGGCAAGCAGTCATAAGTGTGAACAGATTGCCAAGCACCCAGATCATAATCATGTGATTATGGGGTGGTGATACCTCATTTTGCGATAGCAAGAAGTGCTTTATAGGCAGCATTCCTTCTATAACTGTTGTAATTCTGAACTAATATTAAATGAACAGTCATAAGTTGAGGCCTACCTGACCAAGGGGACACAGAAGAATTAAAAAGAGTGCAGACAAGAGTGAGAAAGATGGTAAGAGGCTTGGAGATTAAATCCAATGAAGAACAATGGAAGGAACAGGGCACGCATAGCCTAAAGAAGAAAAGGCTGAGGGGAGTGTTGACAACAGTCTTCCAACACTTCAAGGGTTCTTTTACAAGGATTGGGGGGTGGTGGTGGTGGAGGATTGATTCTTCATAGATACCAAGGGTAATTACCACAATGTTGCTTCCATTACTCCCAACCTCTGCTGCCCTGATGTCAGTCCTGTGAGATAGACCATACCAGGAAACCAACTTCAGATTGATGACTTAAAAAAATAATAATAAACCAAGATACTGACTTGGATAATTCTTTTATATTGGATTTACAAATGAGGTTTGTTAAAGCATGGATGAATCTTGTGAGAAGGAATAAAAAAAATGAAATCAACGTTACTTGAATGATCTAAAGATTAAGATTGTTAGAGGAAAGGAAGAAATTAAGATTGTTAGAGGAAAGGAAGAAATATAAAGTTATTTAATGAAGACTAAAATAGGTAGGTAGGTAGGTAGGTAGGTAGGTAGATAGGTAGGTAGATAGATAGATAGATAGATAGATAGATAGATAGATAGATAGATAGATAGATAGATAGATAGATAGATAGATAGATAGATAGATAGATAGATGATTGATAAAATAGATAGATAAAATAGATTTCTGGAAATCCTTAATGAATCTTTGCTGACACCAGGACTAAAATGACAATGCTTTATGAATTTATTTATAAATAAGAGCTAGGACATGGAATGAAGAGATCATTGGTTGAAAATTAAGAGGAGGTGAAAAATTGTTGAGATGAAGATTAGAAGTAATTGTATCCTTTTCCTTCCCTCCCTCCCTCCCTCCCTCCTTTCCTCCTCTACATTTTTTCTTTTCCTTTGCATTTTTTACTCTTTTTTCAGTTTATGATAGTTTTTACTATTGCAATTATAATCTTTAATTAGTTTTTTAAAAAAGGAAATAAACTCCAGAGAAAGATTAAAGATTGAATCTTTATTGAGATAGGCTATAGTAACAGAATCTTACAAACTTGACTGTGCTTTACCTCTCCTCCCTCTTACATCCCACTGAATCAGGAGGACCCTATATGAGTCTCTTCCAAATATCATCTTGCTTTTCAGGACTTAAAGAAAGTTTTAGCCCTCCTTGCTTACAGAACAATTCTTGCCTCTTTCCCTCAAGGGCATCTCCCCGATTCTCTATATCAGGGTTTCCAAAAACGTGAGGTGAACCTCCCTTGTGGAGATGCAGACCGAGTCCAGGGGAGATTAAAGAAGCGTTTAGTTACATTACTAAACTAAATCCATCTTTCCTAGAGTTTCATTACATTGTTTCCATTGTTCATTTTGATGTTTGGATTTTTAGGATACGTGTGTACATTAAACGAGTTGTGATAGCAAATGTTTAGGAACCTCTGCTCTACAACCAACCAATTGATTCACTTTGCCTAATGGTAAAGCCAGTCCTAATAGTGATATTTGCGTTCTGTACTGTAGTTATTACTATTGGACTTGGATCAGGGCCAACCATATCCAAGCCCCACATCCCCCTTCAGTCCCGGAGCAAAGTGGGTCATTTTTTCTTAAGTACAACTGATTTCATAGTACTGTGATTGCAAGGATAAAATTATGGCAGTTCCACATAGTTGTTTTGAATTTTAGAGAACAGGTGGGTTCTAAATGCAATGAATACATTATATTTGTATTATAGAAATATAAATTATGTTATATAGGATTGTATTTGTACTGGAACCCTAAATTTTAGTAGAGGCCAATAATTTAAGGTTAATTGAGGTAGAAAGGAGAAGAGAAGGTTGTGAGACTTTGTCTTAAATTATTCTCAAAAGAATGACACCTATAGCAGTTCTAAGAGGTAGATTTGCTTTCTTTCAATTTTACCCCTCAGTTTGTCAATAGAATTTGTGGGAAGTGTAAGCATGAAATACTTTTCTTCTTCCCAGCTACTAACGTTGCTGTTATGTTTTGTTGAAAAATATGTGTCCTCATTGCCTGCCTTCTGAAACCAGTCATGTTGCCACACTAATTTCAAAATTTGTGACACAGGACAATGTTGCCATTGTTATCCCTTCTGTAAAGATATGCATCTACTGTACAACCTACTAAAAATGAACTACAATCCTATTCAGAGTGTATGCTACAGTTTCAGATATTTACTGTAGATCAAAGTAACAGCCATCTTAATTTGTTCCTATCACCAAAGCCAGAGTTGAAGAGAACATCTGAATCAAAATGAAAATT